CACCTACTCCCTCACCCCCACCCTTCACCATGCCACGCCCTGGACACACCCCATCACCCCCACCACACCCCTCACCACTCCCCGTGGCAATGTCACGCCCCTCATCACGTCATGCCCCCTCGCCACGCCCCCTCATCACTCTGCACTCACAGAGCGGACCCTCCTCCCTCCACTCCCACCTCTCCCCGCCTCTTTCCCTTTCGTTGGACTCTCAAGGGTCAGTTGAATGTTGCAGAAATACACAGAATTTAATTATGATCTGATAAATCAAAGGCATTTAGGATGTAAAATCATGTTTACTTCGCTACCAAAGTATATTTATTAGCACTGAGCTCAAGAATTTATTTTTCTTAATAAGAATCAGAGGATGGACAACTTCAAACTACTGCGCTCGGAGATAGAAAGTTGGTTACATTTTGGACGCTGCCTTGGCAAATCTGTAACCGTATCAGGTCTGACTCCCGGCCCCGGGAGCTCACGCCCTGCTCTATACTAGGTAACCTCTGGTGTGGGCTCCCTTACAAACACAGCAGAATGCGACGCCACACAGTAGGCCCACAAATCCTTGCAAATCCTTGCAGTGCCCAGGGCACCAAAATCACCTGCCTGGAAAAGCACCAACTCGCAAGCTCATTTATGAAGAAAAGTCTGGCTGTTAACGGACTTCCCGGATACCACACATGGCCTGCTCCCCAAGTCCTCCCCTCAGCATGTCCTCCTCCCTGCCCAGGTGCAGCCCCGCCCCTTCTCTCCCGCAGGTGTGGCCCTGTCCCCTCCACCCCCCCACACCCCCCCGTGCAGCCCTCCCCGGCCCAGGCAGGCACCTGGCTGTAGGTGCCATCATCATTGCACTCTGGGATGAACACCTGCTGGAACTCCTTCCGGGCTTGCTCCTGGGTGTACTTCCTCTCGGCCACACACCTGGACACATCTAAGGAGAGAACAGAGCAGGGCGGGAGTCACCAATGTGAGGATGACAGAGCAGACATGGCATCACGACACACATGCGTGAGTGTGGTGGTGCCAAGGCTTAGGGGCATCTCAGGCAACTTGACACCCTCTGGCTCCATAAAGCGGTCCTCTCATCAGAAGAGCAGGGCCGTTCACAGCTTTGCAGGGACTTCCTGAGGACACAGTGGGAGGTACAGGGGCAAGCTTCACTCTGCACGTGAGCAACTAGGGACCGAGGTTTCGGGGACTCCCGCGGGTTCCCCATGGTGAAGCACCCGCTGTCGTCTGGTTGTTCCCCAGCTCTCTCTGGGTCCCAGGACACCCGCTCGAGCACACTGGGACCAAGTCTAGATGCAAAGGTGGGGAGATGGGGCTACAAGCACAGCCACAATCCCACCAAGGAGCGAGTCAGCCTTAGTGGAAGTAAACAAGGACTCCTTAGAAATGAGGGTGGACGGAAGCATGTGCTTGGGACATGTCATGAGGAAAGACCCGTCGCCTGGTAAAACTGAGGGCCAATGAAAGTGAGGGATGGACTGACCCCACAGCCTCAATGGACCCAAGCAGGCCAGTGACCATGGAGATGGTGCAGAAGGGTCCGTGTTCAGTTCCATTGGCCATGATGTCGCCACCGTGAGTATGAGCCAACTGGACAACAGTCAGGGAACCTCATGCACAACCTGCAATGTACAGATAGATGACACAGCCTCGTTTGCTAAGAGTGAAGAGAACTTGACCACGTCCCAAAGAAGATCAAAGCCTTCAGTATGGATTCCACCTCAACATAAAGAAAACAAAAATCCTCACAACGGCACCAATAAGCAGCATCCTGATAAATGGGGAAAAGATTGAAGTGGTCAAGGATTTCATTTTACTTGGATCCGCAATCAACGCCCATGGAAGCAGCTGTCAGGAAATCAAGCGACTTACTATAGTGAGCCAATCTACTGGCAGAGCTCTCTCTAAAATGTTACACAACAAAGAGGCAACTCTGAAGACGAAGGTATCCCTGCCCCGAGCCGTGGCATTCTGCCTCACATGCATGTGAAAGCTGGAAAACAAGTGTTGTTGTTGTTGTTATGTGCTGTCGAGTCAGCCCTGACTCATAACAAGTAAGGAGGGGTAAAGAAGAAAGGATGCCTTTGAACTGTGGTGTTCAATGCTGAGAAAATGCTGAATATACCACGGACTGCCGGAAGCAGCAGCGAATGTCCTTGGAAGAAATAAGCCAGAACGCTCCTTAGCAGTGAGGATAGCAAGACTTTATCCCTTGTGCTTTGGCCAGGAGAGCCTAGTCTCTGGAGAGAGGCATCATGCTGGGTGGAGGGTCAGCAAGAAAGACGAAGACCTTCAATGAGATGGACTGGCACGGTGACTGCAACGTGGGCTCAGACGTGGCAAAAACCGTGAGGCTGACGGAGGATCAGTGGGGTATTTCATTCTGCTGTAAAAGAGACTGCTACGACTAGGAAATGACTCCGTGGCACCTACCAATGGCAACAACGAGAGGAAGCTGGTGCTGGGACACCCTCAGACAGGTCCATGGGGATCTGCTTAACGTGAGGGCCACCTCTATGAGAAGGCCACGAGCTGCCTCTCCTCTCTGCATCTTAGTTTCAGAGGATTCAAATGTGGACACAAAGCTCCTGCCTCTTCCATCTTCCAACGGAAGTCGGCCAGTACGTTAGAGAAGAGGTCACATATTCTCCGTACTCCCCCACTCTGCCACAAACGTCCAGGCGTCCATGTGAAAACCGCCACAACGTTCTATGTGAGGGAGTCACGCTGTTTCTCCTGCTCAGGAAGGTAGCGCCTGATACTGAGGACAGCTGAGAAGGCTGAAAGCAGGGGAGCGCGCCGAAGCTCACT